GGACCCCACTTTGGATCCCGACCCCAACTTTGGGAAACACTGCTATATACTATAGCTGCTACATTATTYTACATGTATAGGTCATACAGAGTAGCACGTGAATTTCCACAGACCTGTACATTACTATTGACCTTACAGATTTTAATACACATGTAGAATCTAGCGTCAAATGCTCAAACATATTCAGGCTGGTGTGTTCACACCAGTCTTTTAGTCCATTTCTTCTGCGTTTTATTGACTTTTATATTCAGGTGTATTCATAAATTAGTTGTTTTTTGTTGTGGTAATAAAATGTCCTCAATGGTCAATGTTCCTGGCTGTGACTCTAGAGCACAGCTAAAATATCAGTAAATATAAACACTGTTTAAACTAAGTGTATTTCAACAAATTAGAAGTAGGCATGAATATATCTGGACCTCAATGGTTGCTGTGAAAACTGGGACATCAACATATTTTTAGTGAACTTGTCTTTTTTTATGGAAAGTTTTGCAGAAATTCYTAAAGACACCAAACCACATCCATTCGTTAGTAGTAGAAGGGTTCCGGTGCTGAACTGGTCTCCCAGCAGTCCAATCTTCTCACCAGTTGAAAACGTTTGATGCACTGCGTGTGATTTAAAAAAAAAATCTGTCAAAGAAAATCCAGAACTGTTGAACTGCTGGAATCCTCCGTCAGACATTTACGAGATTTACAAATGGTTTTATTCTGTTCATATTTACAATTTACACAAAATCCCAGCTTTGTAATTATTTTTATAATACATTGTGACCGCTCTGACTTTCTGTTTTGTTTCAGATAAGAGATGGAAGGAGATGACTGCAGTTTTCCTCCAGACTTGTCGGATAATCACTCACAAAGAGGAAGTGTTGCTTCCTCTGCAACACTTTCCCGTGGTATGACACAAGCTCGTCAAGAATAAATTGACACGTTCATCTTTTTAATTTTATTTTTATTTTCTTGTCAATACTAGAAGCAAATTTCTGTTTAAAGATTTACAATTCCTCTAGTACTTTGGATTTGACCAACTTAGCCTTGTAATGTTGTCATCAGTGGTTGTTTTTGCCCCCTCAGCTCAGGATGTGCTCGTGTACTTGTTTGGCGACAGCGCGGTTCATTTGTCTCTAGAAGGACTCAGCAGCATCACCGTGCAGGACCTGGGTCACAGTGTTCGTGAGGCTCTGCAGATACCTGAGTCTGTGCACGATGCCTTCTCCTTCTGGCTTTGCTCTCCACTGCTCGGCAAGCTCTTTTTGTTCGCACCTTAAAAACAATAACAATAAAACACTGATCACRATTATAGTTTTAAATCTCCTTTTTATTCTCCAGAACTACAATTAAAGGCGAGACATCTGCCGTARAAGTTATGTAGGCAGTGGCAGGACTTGCTGTACCGCTTCACTGACGCATCAGAGGAGGACATTGTGCAAGGTGAGAGTTTAGGCCAGGCTGAACATCTGGAGCTTTTCTGTTTGGGGCTTTGGATTTTCTTGTTGGGACTATGTTTCTCCCACAAACAAAGGTTAATTTGTAAATTCTAAACAAGCTGTAGGTATGACGGGGTCTTTGCAGGACTGTGGTGSTAATAACAGCTGAGGTTGTAAGTGGGCGTGGCCTCACCAGCAGTGTGATTTAGGTTTTAGAGCAAACTGGTTGTCTGATTACAAGAACCAACTTTTTGCATGCCGTGTGCAGCCYAGTTTTAATTCTGCAGCCATTTCCTGTTTACTTTTTTAAACTATTTTAAGGCTTGACTGTAGAAAATCATAGCATCATTACCTCYTTACTCAATAGATAGCAAAATAAAACAGCAAAAGTAGCACTCCTTGAAGAAAAACACATCGCCTGCCAAAGTTTTMAACAAAGYTCTTGTTTGATAGTGATGGGGGATGACTCTCATCTACTACCACACCAAATTTTAGCTCCGTTTCTGTAAAATTGKCTGACTTCCAACCATTTTTTATAGTGTTGAGTACCTCTGGCAGCAATTTTAAATAGGATTGACTCTAATACAGATGTTTTTTCACTGATTACTTTCTGTAGGTTTCATTCAAATACATGGTTCATGAGATATTTTGCTAACAGACAAACAAATGCACACATTTAATCAATTACCTGATTGTCTATTTCAGGGTTGATAAAGTCAGTCACACAAGGGGGCCAAAGCTCAAAAGTTGCTCCAAGCCAAGGGCCAATTT